TAAAGAAAATGCCCTTGTGATGGCAGATAGTTTATGATGTCAAAGTAACACTCACAGTTCTGTACTTTATCTTTGAAGTCACACTAAGGACCTCCAGGGCTCCTTGTAAATTGTGCCTTACAGAATTGTGAAGAGAACATCAGCTATTTAACATTCAGAGTAAAATCTTGTTTCAATCTTGAACTATGTGTTCAACAGTAAAAATGTATTTTTAATGGCTGAGCCTTACTTGATAAAATTTACTATGTCATGCATCTTATTGGGGTTCCGCTTCTTGCTTGTAACCTGCTCTGGCATATAGACTGCTATGTAACTGCAAGACTGCAGTCTGTGTCTCTTTGCTTTTTCCATATAATTAGTATATATTCAGTAGAAATGATTAGCATAGGGACCTTGCCTCACCTTTCTGATGCAATATGACACATCTTGTCCTTGGTTCCTAGATTGATTACTCATTACGCTTCCTTCCAGATATTTAGTCTATGCACATAAAATTAAATGTAAAAATCATTCAAACAAATATGAGTGACCATATATCACACTCATCTGTGTCTTCATGGTCACTGAGTAGTAGCTGAAGTCATCTGGGACCTTTGTTACTGAAGGCAGTCAGGGTTGCCTTTTGGGCACAATCTGTTACTGACTTCAAGGAACATAATAGTTTGGCTGGTATTCAAGAAACCGCTGATTGACACAGAGCCTTTCCCACTGTTGCCCGCTGTCTCGTTTATCTCATTATAACTTAATAAAAAGGCACCTGTGAACATTCACCAGATTCCTTTGCCTCCTCTCAGGGTCTTGGACATTGACTTTTCAGGCCAGAATATATAATAATGCATCAAATCTGAGATGCTAGCACCTGCACTGAGTACAGAATTATGCCCCTGTGCTATTTTCTCTGTCAGAACTCTCTCAGAATTTTGCAAACAATATTACACAGATGCTTTTTCCTACCAGGCCGTCTTGAAAGGGTCATGATCTGGGTAACTATTGGTTTGAGACACCTTTTTTTTTTTTTTTTTTGGTACATGCAGCGTTACGCATTGTTTAAAGTTTTTCCATCAGCCATGTGAGGTCATTAACAGCGTTCAAGTTACAGGCTGAAGTGAAGTAACATGTGTTTGACATTCAAACCTGCACCATCTTTATTTCAAGCATAAATTTCCCTGTTGTCCCCCTTTTGGAATGAGCACTTGAGATGAGTGGTGGAAGCTCAGTATGTTATAAATAAGTATGATGCTAGGAAAGTGTTGAAAATAGTTCCAAGAACTTCCTGTTACTCTCATAGTTTCGTCATTAAAAGCTACCATTAGACTGTCATCAACATGGTTCCCAGCCTTACTGTCCTAAGATTCATTGCTTCTAGTTGGCATTTGAATGCTAGAAACTTCATCCTGCAGACTGTTGGATTCGATATGACCTTACTAACTCCTGGGTTTGATTAATGGAAAGCATTTCGTTTGGAACAAAACATAATAATTAACTTCTTAAGCTACATAAATTGCTAGGAATGCATCATAGTTTTTCAATTTGTCTTTTCTTCTGTAGAAGAGAAAGCCAAATGTTTAGAAGCGAAATGTTTTACCCAAAATTCTTTTCTTAACAGTGTAAAAACTCTGAAGAATTTCTCCTTTTCTGTAGTGAATATTAGGAATTTATGTGCAGCTTACACTAGATGTTTGTCCAAAGGAACAATACAGCTTATTGGGGGTTAGTGCTTCATCACGTGGAGAGGTGTAAGAGTAGATAGGATTGACAACTTGCCTTATAACTTTAAGCTTGGCATTTTACATGAATTGTTACTTTGTTTTTCTTTCACTGCTGTTTGTAGAGTTTGATTCTTTATGGACATATTCTGCAGAGTAGTAGGGCAATCACCTTAAACACCATCATGAGGAAGCCTGTTCTGTGGCGTCCTGTGACAAGTGTTTTGTGTTTTGTAAATCAGCGTGCAAAGCAACTTTAGTAAGCAGTCATTTCAGCATTGTGCCTCCAACTGAAAGTCCGGGCATGACACTGAACTACAGTGGTCAGGACTACATCAGCATTTATTAATTACTGGAGGGTGTTGTGGATTTTGCTCTTTTACAGCTGGTTCAGCTACTCCAGCCTATGTTGATAACTTCAGTTTATACCATAAAAAAATAAAATTACTATAGGAAAGATATATCCTGGCAAGAGAAGGAAGCTTTATTTCTTGGTCAGATGTTTTCTGTGCCTTGAAGCTTCATTTCTCCTTGTAGGCATAAGGCAGTTCAACATAGGTCCTAATTTTCTCTTTCCTGCTCTTTGATTTACACAGTCAACCTGTTGCTATAAAGTGTAAGTGCTTTCCATTGTCAGATTGATAGCAGTAGTGATGTGGTTACTTTGTACATACTTTGGTCTGGGATTATTTGGCTAGTATGACTATTAATATTAAAAATATAATTCTTACAGTGGAAAGCTTTTTTTTTTTTTAAGAAAGCAAATTTTGTGCTACTTCTGAAGATGTCAGACTCAGCATTCACTTTATTGCAAGTGGTGTTTTCGCTCCAACTCATACCGATTTTCATGAGTTACCATAGGGTGCAGTTGCTGCATAGATCTTTAATGGTGTCTGTCGTTATAGAAGTTCAGGTTGTTTAATTTCTTGATTACTTTGAAAATTAGGCTTAAAAACTCCAACAAGTGTAAAAGTTTTTCTGAAATGGTAGAAAGCCTTGTGAATGGACCCTGACTTGTTTGTGGAAGTATAAACAACTGAGATGGTAAAGACTTGCACTTTGAATCAGCAGCATTCTGTGGTAGTTCTTAATACCTTAATTAGGAAGCAGTGGATTAATCCTGTAAGTATGAACAAATCTGATGATTAATAACATATTGGTCTTACAAGTCCTCGGCTTTAGTGATTTCTGCTCTTTGCAAACTTTTCCTACCATTATCACCACTTCTGTCATCAGTGCTTGATGACAGAAGTGGTGATAGATCAGATCTTGCTCTTTAACTTATTCTTCATCTCTTAGCACTTCTACTTCTGTCTTAGTTTAGATCTCAGTGGTTGTTTTCCACCCATGATCTCTGGCAGGCTTCCGGTGGGTGTGGGTGACATCTCGTCAATAAGAACAGGTCATTGCTTCTGGTCTTCTGTATTCTTTAGCTTTTTCCCCTCAGTCTTGAACAATGGGCTCAGTCTGTCTTAGCGGTTTAAAATGTTCTGAAAGCCTTTTTACTTTTCAGACAGCGGCAAAATTACTTAGGTGATATGGACAGTTCTGCTGGTAGCAAATGAATAGCATGCTCTGTCCACCGATTACGGTGGCAAAATGAAGTGACTTTTACCGCATGAGCGTTGCAGAGTCTGTCATGTGTAATATGTATGGGTTCAGTTCTCTCTGACTGGCAGGCTGTCTGGAGAGTAGGCTATGCAGCTTCACCTTGGTACTCTTCTTCTGAGCCCTAGCTCACTGGGCATGAAGTGATACTGTTTTTACTGGATGACCTCTGGCCATGAAGTAGAATGCATCATGTAACATTACTGCTTCTTTGTACAGCTCTGCTGTTCTACTTGATGCTTTTTTTGTTTCAGAATATACTGGGAAAACAGGAGTGGAAAAATACCTTCCTGTTCCAAAAACCGGTGTCATCTATTTCCCCATCAAAAATCCTCTTTTCTGAGTGATGCTTTTCTAGCTTGTTCTTAACAGCTTCTAGCGATAGAGATGCTTTGGAGTCCTGTGCAGAAGGACTACATTGGATGTTTTAGGGCTAATGTGTTGTTTGCCTTCTAGGGGTGATGGGGTAGTGGTGTGTGTTTGCTTTGATTTGGGGGATTTTGGGGGGAACATGGTAAGACTGAATATGCTTACGTTGTGTGTGCTGCCTTGATGAGAAGCTAGGGTTTAAGCCCAGAGCTGGTTGAATTGAAAGCATTTCATTTCCCTGTCTCGCTGGTATTCCACAGTCAACAGGACTGTGCTACAGGATGGTAGCAAAGTTGAGGCAAGCTTTTATTCCGTTCTTTATACAATTAAGCTATTTCAAATATACTTCTTTTCTTGTTGCTTTTGTATTTAAAGAGCACTAAGGAGAAACTGTCCTGTTTGCCTTTTTGGAACTTGAAAAAAAAAAAAGGGAGAAAAATTGTTTTAAGCAGTGTTTGAAATCAAGAATGGATTCTGCTCTTCTGTAATGCTTTGATTTTTGACAAAATAATTATAGATAAGGTGGACAGGGAAGTGTCTTTAATATTTTGGGTGTGTTTTTTCCCATTAAAAACGGTGTTATGTGGAAAAGGGAACTTTAAATAGGGAACTGTGTTTATCTAACCTGCTACAAGAGAATAATTTGAGTAAGAAAATCATTGAGTCAAAATAGTGCTTATTGATATGGAATTCTGTCTGGTATACGTCATCTACACCTTGTGCTTGAATTGCACACACTCACACACACAGCATTATATGTGCAAGTAGTATAGACTGAAGTCGATGCCAGTGTCATCTGAATTGTTTCTTCCAATTACTGCTGTACTCCACATCTGTGGGTTTTTGGTTTTTTGGGGTTTTTTTGTAAGATGTGACTGTGAAAATGCAGTAGGCTATAGCTCTTGTTCACTGGAATGCAAATAACGTCCTATTTATCTGACTTTTATAAGAAAGCGTTGGTTCTCTTGATTTATCTGCTTAGATTGTGGAAAAAGAAATTTGCAGCATAGTTTATGTAAAATACCATAAAGGAAGAGACATAAAGTTTAGTCTTGAGAAGAGTTAAATTAAATACAAGAATCTCTAAGAAGAATGGAGTTTTATTTAATAGATAAAATTCACAGATTTTAAATATTTCCGTCTGAAAACTTTCTGTAATTTTCCCTTTTTGTAATTGAGAATCTGGCTGAATATAGCAATGATACCTTTTGGATTGAATTACTTGGAGTTGAAGTTCATTAATTTGTTAAAATATTGCAGTCCTACTTATAAATTTACGTTAATTTGGACAATGACTTATGACTTTTTTTTTAATAGTTATTTGAACTGCTAGGCCCTGAAGGCTTTGAACTCATAGAGAAACTCCTACAGAACAGATCTCTGATTCTGGAAAGATCTTTGACTTGTCCAAATGATAACAGGTTCCAGACTCTGCAAGGTAAGCGACTACAAAATTTTTATTCCAAACCATCTAAAAAGTAGTTTTCTAACTGTTCAGTTATATTTCAAACAACAGTACTGTCTATGTGTACTTAAAAGCAAGCAAAAAAAAAAAAGGAGGGGGGATATATATGTTTATATGGGTTTAAACAAAGAAATCATGGTCTGGTTATACAGAGGAAACAAATATGTATTGCATATATTTATTTACTTTTCAACTGCCTATGGGCATGTGGAATTTTAAAATGTACTAACTGTTGCACTGTATTTTAATGGATTACTCTGGAAAGAAGTTGATCTTTGGTTATTCCTCACCTGCTTTCCTGCTTACTCTCTACTACTGTGCTATCATCGAATGTAGGTCTGGGGGAGAAAAAGCACAGTAACGACTAGTTTTGAAAAAAAGAAAGTGAAGCTTAAGGATGGATAAGTGAGAGGAAAACAAAAGGGATTCAGGTTTTATACTGTGATTTTTGTTTTTATAAGATAAATTGCCTGCCCAGAGTAAATCTTTTAAAATCTCTTTTACAAATTGCTGTTTAAAAACAAGTCTTCTCACTTTCTCCTCTGACAAAAATAAATCTGATTGGGAATGGGTTGTGACTTGGGATAAATTTTACATGGGCATAGCACCATGCAGCCCATTGCATGCTCACTACATACAGAGTTAGAAAAAAGTGAATAAAACTAGTAATGATGGACTTAGGGATCCTCACCATAATTTTAAAATGCAAATAAACTTTTTAATATGTTCATAAAATGTTTTTTATATCTGTTATTTATAAAATGTTATATAGGCAAGTGTTTAGTAGTTCACCTCTTACTGTGCTGATGGTTAGCCTAAACTCATCAGAACAACTGTTAGTTTTATCTGTTCATGACTTAACAGTGGAGTGTTTTGCTAGCAGTATAACCAGGCTCTGTGTCCTGGTGTTTTTTCCCTTCTGAAATAATCAAATAATAAATTTTAAATACAATCAATAGAAACTGAACTATTACAGTTTTTCTCCTATGTGCAGATTTTAGTTACATAAATATTTTCTTGTCACTTAGCAGAAGTAGTATTTTGGAAGCTTTTACGAATTTATTCTTCATTATGCCATCAGTAAAATCCGTCACAGTAATTTCTCCTAGAATGTGGTGGAAGAATATTTTCAGTGTTGTGCTTTTGAGACAATAGGAAAACATTACTGATTGTATGCTTTTTTCACCGATGAGAGAACCTTTCTTTCACTGTGGTAAAGAAGCCAATGATGTCTGAGTATCTTCTCTTAGACTGAAGATACTATGCCCCAAGTTCCATTTATTAGTTTTAATAAGGCTTTTTTCTTTTAAGTTGATCAAAATGGTATTTCTAATGGGCGCTGAAGTTTTTTTTCTTTCCAGAATTGCATTTGGGGAAGGGAACAATTTGTGTCTGCAGAAATTTAGTCAATTTTGAGTAATGCGTGTCTTGAGAGAATAAGCACAAATCAAGGAACTATACGTGTACTGCATGTTTGAGGCATTCTGTATTATTTGACTATTTCTTATGTCATTTACTTCCATGGCAGTAAAGGTGATTGTTGTGCTTATCAGACAAATCAAGTAACAGTTCTTTGCGCTGGTCTGTGTTCAGTCTGAATTAAATTTAGTTAGGAAATCACATCCATTGTTGTCTCATTTTAATACAAGAGAGAGACTTAAAGCTACAGACATGATGGTATTAATACGGACATTTTGACAGTTTATTAGATTTTTTTCAATGCTGTTTAACAAGTTATAGTCACCTTATCCAATATGCATGCTGTGAGAGGTAGGAGTTTCACTGTTACCGTGGGTGAAAACTAAGTGTTCAAATTGTTCAAAACATCAGTCAAGTGGGTTTATTTGATGAAAAAAAGTTTTTCAAGTTTTCAGCTTCAGAGTTTGACTGCAAAAGTACACATGAAACATAATTGAATTAAGTATATAATATTCAGTGAAACCTACATAAACTAATAATCTGTTTGCAGAATTTTGAAAATAGAAGTTTAAAAACACTGATATAATTAAAACGAAAACAAATCCCTCCACCTCATTGAATGTAAAAGACTTGGGTGTGTCTTTGGTTTTGGCCAGTAATGGCCTTGGAAGGTTGAATGTGACTGGGATTTTTCAGGTTCCCTGCTCCCCTATGTTAATTGTTTACCGTAATTGTTCTGTGGTTCTGATTCTTCTTGATTCAGTCCTGCTGTTTCCCACATAAAGGGAAGGAGTCCTTGTGGTTGTTTAGAATAGGATTTCTTTTCTCATTCACTTAGGGAAATTATATTGTGAGTATGCTTTCAATACAATCAAGTTATCTAGTAAATATACACTAATTGTTTTGTTAAGAGGCTGTTTAAGAAAACTAGCCTGTTTAATCTGTTTTCACACCATTCTACTCATCTCTCCTCTTACATGTATACACTAATGAGTGGCATTTTCACTGTTGATGAAGCTATAAATACAGAAAGGGAAAAAAGCTCTTCCTTTTGCTGCCAGCCCATCCGTTTGCTTTGGGATGAAGAATTTTTGTTTGCTTAACAGTGGTAACTTTAAATGTCTTACCTTTGGGACATGAGCTGGTACTTCTTTTAGATTTCTTGAGACAAACTGCTGCATGTTCATCTAAATAAAGCTTAAACTATCTTTAAACACACATACTCCCCCTGCCCCCCCAAAAAAGAAAATAAACCTCAAAAAGCAAACCTTTAGGAGAAAACTGGGGAAAACAAAGATGGAATCTAGTACTTATGGAGATGCATACCTGTTATCGTATTGCAGAACAGTGCAAGAAGTTTATAGGAGAAAATGCTAAGCCCAATTATGGTTGTCAAGTTACAATTCAGTCTGAACAAGAAAAGCTGTTAATGAAACAGTATCGTCGGGAAGAAAAGCGAAATGCCAGAAAAGAAAAACAAGCTGGGGAAGATGGAGAAGTTTCTGGAGAAGGACTAATGTGCTTTGATCCCAAAGAGCTGCGGATGCAAAGGTAATAAATGCCAGAAGTTGAGAAATGCTTATGTTGCAATTGCTTCTTCAACATATCATAATAGTTTATTTCCTTTAGTTTGCTTTGGTGGATATGTGATGTTGACTTCAAGTCACATTTTATTACAAGTGTAGAATTCTTTTTCATATTAAAACCTAATTTTCAGGGAAAGGCGGCAGTGGTCTGCTTAATGAGAATCTTCTTGAGCTCATCTGTGTGGGCTGGAGATGCAGATTAGAGGGGTAGGCTATCTTTCTTTAGTTCCTGTACGCATACTAGTTGCTTAAGATTTATGAAGTCTGTACTAAATCTATCAGAACTATCTTTCTTTTTTTCCTCTCAAGATTAATGGATACTATTTTCCATTTTGTCAGCTAAAGGTAGTGGGAGGAGTAGGGGAGGGAGAGGATAAGGAGCAAATAAGCTGTTGTGTTTCGTATTGAGAAAAATATAGTAGTACTGGTACGTGACTGTGAATACATGCTGCTCTATTGCTTAAAAAGAGGCAAAAACTGCACTTATTGGATTGCACTTTTATCTAAACTGTGTTACAAGGACTTGGTTTAACTGATGCCAGAGAATAACACTGTAAAATTCCTTTCTTAATTATCTTATGCATTGGGTTTTTTCCTTAAATTTCCACAACTGTTGCTCTCACTTTAATGTACCACGATCAGGTTTTGTGCTGGCTGCCTAAAATGGGCAGAATTATTGCTTCTTTTTTTTCCTGCTTACAGAGAACTAGCACTTTTGAATGCTCGAAGTATGCCGATCCTAGGTAAACAGAGAGAGGTGGAGTTTGAAAAAATTCATTATCCTCATGTTTATGATTCCCGAGCTGAAGCTATGAAAACATCAGCATTCATTGGGGGTGCAAAGGTACGTGTTTGGTGCATGACCCTTCTTGAACAGTACATCTTTCCCAGTGAATAATGTGCAGCAGGGTTCTCTTTGTTCCCTTAGAGATTTTCCTCCTTATCAGAGTCCAATGTCTGAAGCAGTGCTTCTTTGCAGAGGGTTTTAAACACTTTCATATCTTCTGTTTCTATTTTGACTCTAGAAGAAATAATCTCGTTCTCAACTAATGTATTTGTTTTTATTTCTAGGGTCACTTAAATAATTAAAATACTATTTTTTCCTCTTTATTTTTTTGGAAGCTGTTGAATTGACTTTAACAAAATGAATGTTGTATGAAATTCTAGACTTAATGGCTTTCGAAATTTAATAAAATTGAGTTCTTTTTTGTCTTTTTGGGACCGTTTTCTGAGTAGTTAAACAGATTATTTTCCATTTCAGGGATTCAGTGCTATCTATAAAATGAATCAGTGAGAATTGCTTGTATTTTGGATTCATTTTTTGATGGAAAGAGATAAACCATTGTTTAAAGTGGGTTATACGTAATGATACTTTCTGTTTTCATACTTTCAATTAATTTTCCTGTAATACTTTTTTAGGTGTTCTTACCAGAGGCAGTTCAGAGAGAAAACAATAAAATGTATGAAGAGGTGAAGATCCCCCATAGTGAACCGATGCCTATTGGTATTGAAGAGAAAATTGTTTATATTAAAGACTTAGATGAGGTGAGTAAACCATTTCAACGACATTAAATTAGTTTTTTCTTTGTATTACAAAAATTTATCTGAAGAAGATTAGTAATTAATACTGTGATTTGTGATGTGTAAATGCAGCCAGTTAGTTTCTTCGCTACTAATTTTGAGAATATTTGTTGGGGGATGTAGTTCAGTGATATATAGTCTCTTTCATGATGACTCAGATTCAGGAAATTCCTGCTCTAAACTTCTTGTTCATGAGTTGCCGTTCTCAGTTCCTTTGGCATTACCTGTTCAGCTATTTCTGGTGTTAAGCTGTGATCTGGATGACTAAAATGAAAATAAAAGATTATGGTGATTCCGTTCTCTTTCTGGAGACCACATGGAGAAGTGAGCTGAAGCTTCTGTATCTTGACTTGTGCAGATTGGCTTGTGACTGCACAGCACTATTTTGCAGTCCGTGAGACTAGTCTTATAGTACGATGCAGTTGTGGGGGTATTAAGTTAAGGTGTTGCGGACTGTATGGGGTGCAAAACCTTCTGGAATAGTTCTTCTTTAACCAGAAGGTGGCAAATCATTATTAGCAAAACTTTGATAATAGAAAACAGAGGGCAGAGGGGAAAAAATGCAAGTAAACCAAACATAAACATTTTAACTTTAGTGATTGAAACTGGTGCAAAAACTGAGGTAAGGGAACTAAATTTGTTGTTAATATTTACAGTCTAGAACTTGCAGTACTCCATCAGGTTGTACCTGCTTGCTCACTCCTCATTGTCTGTGTCAAATCTGTTGATGAATGGAAGATTTGCTATTGATTTCAACAGGGACGTAGAGCAAGCTGTATGTGCACATGAGGAACGCTTTATGTTTGTTAGTTCATACATTCAGCAACATACAACATGAAAAAATGTTTCCCACTTCTTTCCCTGTGGGAAAACAGGAAGTGAGAATATAAGTCTATTATGGTTACTTCTTTGGGGTTCTGAGTAAAGATCATGTCTTACATAAACATTTAACTCTTTTTAAACAGAAGACAGTTTAATTTTAGAATCTGAATCTATTCTTTTCTGCTTGGGTGACAGTATGTAATGTCATGTTTATACAGTGACTGACAGTTTAAGTAGATACAAAAGTTGAGCCACTGCAGCTGTAAAATGTGATATTTTATATGACAGTTTTCAGCATGACAACTTTTTGCAATGAAATGTCTTTCTTCTAAGCTAAGTAATACTTACGAACCTGTAAACTTTTTGCAAGAAGTACCAATATTTCAAGAGACAATAACTTGTTCAGAAAAAAATATAATTCAGACAGAAAAACAGATATCTGAAAGAAATGGTTTGCAGATTTTTACACATACAATGTTAAATTACAAAATGCATCAGTTACACATATTTCACAAATATTTTGTCTCCTTTGTAGGTTGTATATCATCAAGAGGTATATTCTTCAGTTTTACAATGAAATTCTGAAATAGAAACAATTTTCTTCAGAACTTTACTCTTCTATGCTTTACTCTTCTATGCTTCCTATTACAGGACATCAAATAGGAGTTTTAACAGCAGATACAATTTTGAATGTTTGAATACTTATGTATTTAATTCTCACCCCCAACTTTGACATCAGTTTGCAACAAAGGATGCCAAATCTATGAATAGTTTGTCCAGTTGCAGGACTTGTCAGATTCTTATTTCTGTGACTAAAAGTCACTGATATGAATCTTGTTGAATAGCACCTTTTTTTCAATGAGTAGAGAGACTGAAATTGCTAATGTGTGTATTATTTAAGTTATACCTGGTCAAGATGTAAGTATCTTGATTAGGGGAAAGTTTCTTTTTGCTTTCTCTGTATGGTTGCAATAGATCTCTAAGCTCATAGAATCTTGGTGCTTAAAATTTTTGTGAAAAAACTCAAGTCAATTTAGAGGATGAGAAGTCTTTCTGTCAATGTGGTTTATTCTTTTTTGGTGAACGAGTGTAAGCAAAAGCAGCAAAATAAAGCTTTTTAGCTTTATCCTTAGCATATACAGGTGCTTATAAGATAGCCCTCATATCTCTGTATAGATATGTTTGCAAGATTATCTAAAATATAAACAGATGGGTGAGAAGGAGAGGTGACTGAATGTAACTTGAGAGTTCATAGCAGCATCTAAAGGCCTCATGAGGAAGTTGAGAGTTTCGCTACTATGTGTAGTAGGGTTTTGATGTAAGGCATTGAGTTGGTCTAAACATATAGATTAAGGTATTCATTCTGTTTAACAACTCAATATACATGCAACCCATAATAATAAAGGTCCCTGGGGAAAAAAATGCTCAGAGCAACCAAACGGTCTATTATTGCTGTTACAAGGGTATTTATCACATAGCTCTCCAAGCACTTGCTGTCTTGTGGAGAAATCCTGATGATTTTAAAAATGATAAATACCCTTCTTCCTTTGAGTTTATTCGTTTAGTTTTCATCTGTTCTCCATTTCACCAGTCCCATTGCTGTTACGCTTTGGTGAGTTTCTTGCCTTGCCAAGAGCCACCTCTGGCTGCGTTTCCCTGCCTGGGGTACTAACACTTATTAAACCTCGTGTTCAAAGACACAAATACTTTGGGTTTTCTAAGGTGTTTCTCTTTCTAAAATTGTCTTTTTACATCCAGAAAATAAATCACTTTTCTACTTTCTAAGAACAGTTTTGCTGACTTATTTTCAGGCTTAGAGCTTTGTAAGTTCTCATTTGCCGTGGAGCCACTGTGAGGAGGAGGAGGAGGTGGGGCAGATCAGAGCCCCTGCTGCTCGGGGCAGTTGAGTACGGGAGTTTTCTGTGAGCTCTGAAAGCTGTGGGGTGTCATCCTGCTGGGGAGAGGCATAAACCACTGGTAACCCCTCTGGAGCTACTTTGTCTACACAGTAATGATAAGAGATGGTGACCTCCTTCATTTGATACATGCTTTCTTGGTAATAGCAGGCTCTCTTCTGTAAGGTCCAGCTTGCTTTTGCTTGCTGTCACAAGCTGTGACCAGATGACAGAAGTAAAACCAGGTTTGCACTACAGAAGACTTCTACCTTTCCATCTAAATATGTGCCCTCTTTGAAATTTGAGGGACATCTGTGGGACATACAGGACATGGCTTCAGGTAGAGAGAACAGCAATTTTTGTACAATTAAAAAATTTCCTGGGCCTTCTCTTGGGCTCTTCTTACTTGGTAACTATCTTGCCCGAGTATGGAGAGGGTGGGCAGTCAGGAGTACTGTACAGCTGACGTCCTAGTTTATTATGTTGTAGAGGGAAGTGTGCTTCTATTTAGATTTGATTTATGGAAAGTTTTTTAATGGCTAGTGTAGATTTCTTTTTAAGGGAAATGAATTTATACGCCATTGATAAGATAAAGAATCCTACATCTTGATTTGAAAATTTCCAGTGGTACCTTTGCTCATTCAAAGTTAAAAACTTGAACTGCTTCAATTTTCCCAAAGGACTGAAAAGAAGTAACATCACTATGAATTGTGACCAGTAAGAAAGAGCATGAGAAGAATAGTACCAATACAAACTAAAATTACTTCTTCACTAATGCTTTGTATTAGGTACGTTGACACGAGTAGGTTTGGGAATGTACTAAGACCGAGAAGCTGTGCTATATAGCTAAGTGAGTGCATTTCACAGGCTAAGGACGAAATTCTTCATTATTCAACTTAATATTCACATTACCTAGCAGGTGAAAATTCTGTTATTCTTCTACTGGTTTGCATTTGTGTCACTCCTGTCTTGTAACAGACAAAGGAGCTCTACGAGAGAGTCTGTAAGGTATAGGCATAACGTAATGCTGATAATGAAACTAAATTGTCAAAAAGTTTAATTTACCTTTGATTTTCCTTTTAAAAGACAGAAGGTAAGAATTAACAAAAATGGACTAGTTTGTATTCTTCTGAAAAAATGATTCACTTAATGTGAGAATTTTTAAAGCGGCATAGGAGCTTCTTGTCTTTTTAGTCTGTATGTTTTCATTTGCACAAAAGTAATTTTACAGAATCTATATTTCTCATCATTTATGTGATTTTGATCACATTGTCAGCAGTTTGGGTGGAATATTTGACCGTGTAACATGCATATTGCAGGATAAACTATTAAATTTAATCTTCAAAGCTCATAAGGTCAGAACTGAGTTTGTGATAAGGAGATTGTTTATATCTTGAACCATTAGCGAAAAGTTAAACCACTGGATCGTGTAAGTTGAAGTAATCTTTCATTCTAAATGTTTTTAAGGATTAGTTCAGATTCCTTACATTTTTCTCATTTCCTTAAGTTGACGTAAACATAGGTTGAGAAAAGGTGAGAGAAATGTATTCCTCTAAATACTAATTCTAACAAATCACATTTTAACCACATTTGAACCATGTATAGACTCATCTCTTATTTGTTTCTTTTGTATAAATATAGGGCAAAATGACAAAACTTCTATGAACCAACACCAAAGGGAGCAGCAATGCCTTGAACTAGCACAGGTATTAACAGGAGGTTTTTATTTAAAGGATTAGCAGTGTAATAAGGCTGCACCTTCAACTGCGATCCAGAATGAAGTGACCTTTATGTCAATGAGTGTTGGTTTTTAACATTTTGAAGTCTTCTAGAATAAAACTACAGTAGACCAGTCATTAAGTACGTCATTCCTCTACATTTAAGAGTGTTGTCATGTGTTGTGAAAATGGTGTATTAACCTATATTTGTAATTTGCATCTCAGCCTCTCACATGAGGCTACTAGCAAGAAGCTGCAGCAAAACAATAGACCTAGTGCTGTTTGTCCCAAAGTTAAATAAAATAGTTGATTTGAATAGTCGATGAAGCCCTCATTCCTAAACTTGCAATTACTACTTGAGGTAGTAATAAATTGGGTCCAGCTCAAATAATTTGCTCAGTATTGGAAAGAATATTATTAGTATTGGAGAGGCTATTGCCATAGCAAATGTCTGTAAATTAACTAAAGCACCCAGAATAATCATAGAATCCTAGAATGGTTGAGTTGGAAAGGATGTTAAAGATCATCT